AAAGGGGAGTAAGAAGTTCTTTATTTGAAATTTAAAGGACCACTCTAGGCACCCAGACCACTTCAGCTTTATGAAGTGGTCTGGGTGCCAGGTCCCTCTAGGATTAACCCTTTTTTTTTATAAACATAGCAGTTTCAGAGAAACTGCTATGTTTATACTGAGAGTTAATCCAGCCTCCAGAGCCTCTAGTGGCTGTCTCATTGACAGCCGCTAGAGGCGCTTGCGTGCTTCTCACTGTGAAAATCACAGTGAGAGCACGCAAGAGTCCATAGGAAAGCATTGTAAATGCTTTCCTATGCGACGCGCTGAATAACGCGTGCGCACATTCAGCCCGTAACATCGCGGCAAGAGAGAGGAAAGTACAGCTCCCGCCCAGCTGGAAAGGTAAGTGTTTAACCCCTTCTTCTACTCAGAGCCCCGGCGGGAAGACCCCTGGTGAGGCACCCTCAAGAACTCTGAAATACCAGGAAAACGAGTATGTTTTCCTGGCACTATAGTGGTCCTTTAAGTTTTTCCCTGAAATTTCCTTCTTAAAATGAGGTGCGTGTTATACGCCGGTGCGTGTTATACGCCGATAAATACGGTATATATAGGTCTAAGTACCATTTAGATAGGTATAGGTGTTTTTTTCAGATTTTTGTTCATAAGATATTTCATCTACTAGCAGCTTTTTGCCACACATGCACAATAGCCTCCCAATGCTTTCCTATTGGAAGGATTGGATTAGCTCAGATTATCAAGTTTAATGATCTCAGCCAAAGTAAAGATCACACTCATATGACTTTAGAATTAACATTAACCATTGTTCTCCAGCAGGGCATTGTCCCAGGGACACTGCCAAACCAGTTGAAACATGCTGTTTTACCTAACTTTTGAACTACTGGAGGGAATTGTATGATTTTCGGGTATGTTTATAATTAAAGTGTGCTGAGTTTTATGTTTGTGGCATGCATATTTTGGAAGTTATTAATATGTTGCATAAAGTGTATTTGTCCTGCCTGTGATAAATTACATTAACCCATTGTGTTCACTAATTATATCACAGGCAGAGGGGAGGGATTGTATGTTGGTGCTGGATGTGTTTTACGGTTTGCCTGTAAAGGATTGGTTGTACTGTGTCCCACCCTGTGGGATGTCCCCTTGCATGGGGACTTGCATAAAAGCCAGTGTGTGGTCATTAAAAATCACATCAACTTGTACCTTTCTTGAAGCCTTGGCTCATGTTTGGGGGAAGGGATACCTACACTCTGGGGATTGCTATAATCACTTACTCCCCAGAGCAGGCCCAGACTGGCCATCGGGCACACCGGGCAAATGCCCGGTGGGCCGCGGTGGCCGTGGGGCCGAGGCCGGCAGCTGAGGTCCCAGGATCTCCCCTGCCGGTCTATGCAGGGCCGGCACTATCCGAGCGCCGGCCCCGCTGTTTGCCATGGAGGGCCGGTGGGGAGATCAAAGATCTCCCTCACCGGCCCATTTAAACAGACCTGCGGCTGGGGAGGGAGGAAGAGGACCCGGCGGAGCTCTATCTTGTAGCTACGCCCGGTTCCTCTCGCGAGATCCGGCGTGTTGCCATGGCAACGCGCCGATCTCGCGAGAGTGAACTCTAGCCCTCAGGCTAGAGTTCACTCACCACTGGACCACCAGGGATGATGTGAGTGTGCCGGTCCCCCCTCTCACACACAGCACTCACTCTCACATACAGCACTCTCACACACATCATACACAACACTCTCACACTCAGCACTCTCACACTCAGCACTCTCACACACAGCACTCTCACACTCAGCACTCTCACACACAGCACTCTCACACACAGCACATCATACACAGCACTCTCACACTCAGCACTCTCACACACAGCACTCACTCTCACATACAGCACTCTTACACACATCATACACAGCACTCTCACACTCAGCACTCTCACACTCAGCACTCTCACACACATCATACACAGCACTCTCACACTCATCACACTCTGCACTCTCACGCTCAGCACTCTCACACTCATC